ACTATCAGTAAGCAGCGAAGATTTAAAAAAGGCATAGAAATGAATGAAGAATCAGAGATCTAGCTGAATGGGAAATAAATACAGATCTTATAGGCTATTATACAGAAAAAAACCTTCATAGAATTTAGAATGTTATTTTCCTTTAACGGGTAGACAATTTGGAGACAAGATAAGCTATGCACGCACGGAATATTTTTTGAGAAAATTGACAAATGGAGAAGTTGTCAAGAGAAATTGGTTTATTTATTATCCTTCAAAAGGTAAAGTATTTAGCTATGTCTGCAAGCTAATTGGTCGCAAATATGAGAGTGTCAATAAATCTTGCAATCAATTTCAAACTGGTTTTAAAGGTTGGAAAAATGCTAGTACTACTTTGCATGAGAAATTTAAAGACTATATTGCTGCTCTATTAATAATGTAGCAACGTCAAAAATCTACTAGAATTCATGTAGAACTCCATAAAGAAAAATAGGAATTGTTTAAATACTACACCTTTTTAAGATGTAATTGAAAGTTGTAATTAAGAAACGTAAGACGTAATTGAGAAGACGAAAGTTGTAATTGAGAAATATAAGATGTAATTTAGAATATGGAAGATGTAAATAAGAAATCCTAAGATGTAATTGAGATGATAAAAGTTGTAAGATGTAATTGAGTTGAGAAAAGTTTATAATATAGATTATCAGAAAGAAGTTCTTTGTATTTTTAATTTTTTTGTCTAAGTTTACCTTGTAACTTAAGGTTGGATCCTAATTTGGCCATATGGGTTGGTTTTCAATAAATAATAATATAATATCAAAAAAATAAAAAAAGTGATGAAAAAGGCATTTATGGTTTTGGCAGTAACTGGAAAAAAGGTTAGTTAAAACTTTCTTTTTTTTTTGTTTGTGAAAAATTCATTTGAGAAATCAGATGAATAATAAATAAAACACAAATAATTTAATTAGAAAAAAAATATAATGATTTAAATTGAATTTAAACAATTTCATTAAAAATCATTGTAGTATTCAGTTAAACACCTCATTATAATGAAATCATTACCAAATCATTGTAATATTCAGTTAAACACAGTTAAACACAGTTAAACTTTGGCATCTTCCATATTTAAATTGTTGCGTAATACTTCGTAGTATGTTGAGCAGCACGTGCACAATCACATCCCTTTATTTCATTTTTTTGCCGCAGTACCAATTCTTTCCAAATACTGTATTCATTGCCCACAACCCCAGCATCGAATACAGATGGAATGCGAATCGGATTTTTAAATTTACTTTTAATTTTAGACTAGATTGTTTCTACCGGGTTTAACAATGCTCCATTGTCTATTACGACAACCAAATCCTCTAAACAATTCCCGGATGTAACCCACTGGTTAAACGAAGCCAACATTCACTCTTTACAAGAATCTGCTTTAAATGATCCTCTGCGAGTTTCTATCATGACAACATTTGTTGTTGATAGCTGCATATCAAATGTATATTTGCATCTTTTAAAGAAGGTGCTTTCATTATTGCTCTTTTCCCCTGTTTTGAACGTCCTTGCGTTTTTCTACAAAAAAAGTTAAAATTTGTTTCCAACCAAATTATCTGATGATCATTTGTGATGCGTCCGTTAATGTTCTTAGCATACTCAGCTCTTTTTTATTTGTTCTCATTACTATTCATTTTAGTAGACTCCTAGTGCACTTTTTTTAAATGAAAATGCTGCTTTTGAGGTAATTGTGAATTGTGGTCTGCTGACGCTAATATTAAGTCTTAATATCCTTGTTTTAATGGCCGTCAATGTCAACTGACAGTCACATTTAATTCATGTTAGTGTTTCTTTGATTTGATTATTGGTTAATTTTTTTGGTTTAAAACCACCTCTTCCAATAAAATTTAAATTTACGCTGCGGATCCAATTGTATGCTGGGTTATACTTGACACCTAAAGTTTGCGCCAGAGTCACCCAATCGTCATTTTGCTCAGTACATTCAACAATTTTTCTTCTATCATTCGATGAAGATAAAACAATATGTTTTCTTTCAACGTGTTAAGTTGTATGTATTTCATGTCTACAAATTGGAAAAGGTGGTTCTGGTTGTTCCAGATGTGGATATAAACAAATTTGGTGAAATAAATGCTTGCACGGATTCAATTTAATAACAGACTTTCTGTTCATGGTGTGTTGACAAATAACACGACGATCTTTCAATTCCATTACTGTATTACTGTATTGCTGGTGCATACAAATGCTAAATTTGATATTATTAACTTATTAAAATGCATGTCTAAGAAGATCCCTGGTGGGAAATGAGCTAGCGACTAGCGAGCGACTAGCTAGCTTCATAGCGATTTTCAAGTGATTTTTTTTTTCTGATTTTATTCTTTACTAATGTCTCTAACATCTTTAAAAATTCGATTTTTAGTGTTGAGTCTATTATAATTATGAGAATAATTGAACTTTAAACATTGCGATTTTGTAGCAATGTGTCGCTAGCTACATATCGTAGGTTTGTAGCTAGCTACAAAATATCTACAAATTTATAGCTGGTTGATAGCTACATACCAAAATTTTTTTGATAGCGATTTTATTACGATATGACGGTAGCTATAATAGCCTGTGAGTCTTTAGCTTATTAAGCTAGCTGTCCTCGTAGCCAAATCGCTGTCTTTATCTTTACAAATATTGATAGCTTTTCGACAACTTAAAAAAGCTAGCGATCCTCGTGGCCAAATCGCTGTCTTTATCGTAACGATGATAGCTAGCTAATCGCTAGCCGATTTCCCACCGGGTCTTTTATAATGACCTTTAAGCTTACATTATGAATTTGCAATTAGAAATAATTTGTTATCATTTACATATTACGATTTCTTAATTACAACGTTTTTCTAGAATATTAAATACAGATTTTAAAATACTAGATTTTACTAAGAGATTAGTAAAATATAGTTGTAGGGAATAGTGATCGAAAAACAATTTTGATCTATAAATGATTTATAATATGATCTAAAACACGTAAAATTCTTTTTACTTTATACTTTTCATCCTAGTTTACCACATATTGATTACAAATGCATTTTTACAAAAATATTCTTTTGACGTCAAAGTTTTTTTACAAATATGTTTTCATTAAACAAAGCTCACATATTTACTAAAACATTTTCAAACACATGAGACATTTTTAATTACATAAAATGCATATCCCAAAAATTAGTATTATATGGGTTAAAAAATGTTTAATTAAAAAAGTCAGCAAAGTAAAAATGTTAGATAAATGTCGGTTTATTTTGTAAAATTATTTCAAAATAAGACGCTAAAAATTAAAACGCGCAAAGGATTCCATTTATTGGCGGCTCCTCTGATCTATAACAATATGTTAAATGTCCAACTATTCGTAAGTCCTTGTTTTATATTAAGTCCATTTGTTACAGCATTTAACAATCTAACCGGCAAGCAAACAAACAAAAATATATATTAGAAGACATATTTCAAATTCATTAAACAACCTTTTGGAGAATAAGTAGAAGTTTTATAGTATACTATTTAAAAAACGTTTAACTATTTCAAATGTTTTTAGATGTAATTTGTGTTTTGTATTTTTATCCCTGTTTCTTAAGTTCTTCCAGTATGCCTGATTTTGAACACAAAATAAAAAAAATTCGAAGTTTTGAATTTCTTTCTATTAAAAAAAATTAACAAAACCAGATTTACTTTATGCAACTTTTTTAGACCTAAAGTAGCCTATTTTTTTTCTGGGATAAATTGTTTTGTACAAATACGCCCAAGAATATGTCTATATCTCCTTTATATAACCGTAAATCTCCTTAATAAATTTTAAAACATTTTCAAACGCAAACACTAAATCTTTAATAATACTTCAAAATTTAAATTGAATCTCAGTTTGATAAACTCAATAAACGCAATCTTAAAAAAGTAGTTGAAGTATCTTAAAATTATATATATCAATAAATAAATTATATTATATATAATAATAAAAATAAAAATATATAGTACAATAATAAACTCTTAAGAATCCCAAGATTTACTTTTTAAATACATTGACATTGCTGGCTATTAAAGTGTGTGTATAAACAATATTATTGTAATTATTGTATCCTAAGTAATGATATAATAGTATTGTTTACACACACACACACACACACACACACACACACACACACACACACACACACACACACACACACACACACACACACACACACAAACACACATACACACTTACACACACGCACACACACGCACACACACGCGCACAAATATCATAGTTAACCAACACTAATTATATCCGCCCATGCATATTTGATATATTTTATATAACAAACATGTATGGGCGGAGATAAGAAGTGTTGGTTAAACAAGACAATTAAAGATTTCTTTATAGACCAAACAAATATAAGTCAATAAGGTTTCTTTCAAATTTGCTAAATAAAAGTATCTGTTTTATAAATAAATGCATTTCATTCACGCGAAAATCTTATTTTTTCAAAGTTGCGTTCCGTTTCATTCGAATGCGAGTGCATTCCAAGCATTCCCTCACACCTTTTACCAAATATTATCTGGTAATAGGTTTATTATATTTTAATATATTATAAATTGTAATATTACCAAATACTATCTGTGTGAGAAAATGCATATTTACCTGTGTTTTTAGTTTTAAACGTTTAATTAAAGTTATAGAAATCTTTTAAACTCTCTCCTTTAATAACCAGCAATGTCAATGACATTGACAATTTGTCAATGTATTTCAGGCTCTATTGTTTAAGGTCATTAATAATCGTTTTTTCTAATATATATATATATATATATTTTAGTTTTCTAATGATTTTTTTCTTTTTTATTTCTACGAGATTTATAAATTGAAAAAGTTACATTAAGTTTTAATATAAGCTTAAATTAAATAAATTACTCTATTTTTTTTTCGATTTCATATTATGTATTTTTTAGGTGTATAAAACTATAAACTAAAACGATTAAACTATTAAATGTTTTTTTTTAGCTGTACATAGTAATGATTAGGTTACTTGTAATATTAAATACCCTCATTTGTCATGGTGACTTTTTTAATCTTGATGTAAAATATGGTGTATACACGTTTTCTAACTCAGAATCATCATATTTTGGATATCAAGTATTATTACACAATACAGCAAGGTATTATTAAATTCCTACTATAAATATGTAACTATTATATATTTGTTTTATCAAAAACAAAAATTTAAATTCTTTATTCTTCTAAAATTTCTAGTTATTGTTTTATATTGTTAGTTGTGTAATTTTGCTTTTAAATTTAATTTAATTTTTTAAATATTTTTACTTCATTACAACTATATTTTAATTATGTAAAAGTTTAATATTTTTTAAGTTAAAATGTATATATGTATATATATATATATATATATATATATATATATATATATATATATATATATATATATATATATATATATATATATATATATATATATGTATATATATATATATATATATATATATATTTATGTATATATATATAATATATATTATATATATATATAATATATATAATATATAATATATATTATATATATATAATATATATATATATATATATATATATATATATATATATATATATATATATATATATATATGTATATATATATATATATATATATATATATGTATATATATATATATATATATATATATATATATATATATATATTATATATATATATATATATATATATATATATATATATATATTAGGTATGTGACTTGAAATTTTCAAATTTATCGTACACCATTAAAAAAAGCGCTAATACAGTATTTTAAAGGTGAAAATTTTATCAAAATCCAACTTACCTACCAAAATTTATTACCTTTTTAGTACTGTTTTTTCAATATATGGATTTGTTGAAGAAACTGTGGTCAAAATTTCTTCAGTAAAATTGTTATAACTTTGTCAATACTTATCTAAAAAACTATATTTTGGTATCAAAAGATAGGTGTATGAAAGGTCTATGTGTTTACATTGGTCACTAGTCAATGGCTGTTTCCAGGGGGTATGGTCCTTCCCCTCTGCCTTTTACCTAACTCAAAAAAATTTTTCATTTTTTTGAAATTGCTTATACTATGTGCTAAAGTTCCTAAAACAAAATTTTAATGCAATTATGATACCTCATGTTGCTTGGTGTAACCAGAGTGGGAACTGCTTTGCCATCTTAATTATCTGAAAATACATATTTCTTTAAACTGAAATAAAAGAATGGTGTAATTTAATAATTGTTTGTATTGTTATAAAATGTGAAAAAATTATTATTAAAAACATGGTAAAAATATTCATCTGTGTTGTGTTCATTTCCTTTAGGGATAAGATGTTTACCCCCTCCTAAAAAATAAAATTGAAATCAAAATTGTAATAAATTTGCATTACCAAAATAATATTATACATTAAAACATGATTCATGGTTCAAAAACAATGTTCTTGGTGACGACTGATTCAAGTCTTTTATAAAACAAAACAATTTGACCCAGAGTTTAGCAGACAATGTGAAACTAGCATGCGCCGAGATCAACACATTGAATGTCAATCTTTATTATATTGAATTGCAACATGTAGTTGAAAATGTGCCTGCTAATCATACATATAATTATGATGAAACAAAAGTGACGGGCGATCCTGGTTCAAAAGCAATTGTTTGAGCGAAAAATACAATATTCCAAGTCTGCAACACATGTTGAGCGAAAAATACAATATTCCAAGTCCGCAACAAGTATCATGTATTGTAGCAGTGCAGATGGAACTTTTATCCTACCAATGGTTGTTTATAAAGCGCAAAAGCAGCAGGAAATGGAACTAGTTGCACTGAGTTACATATTATCAGTAGCAAGGTGATTATGATAACCATACACCTGACTAAAACTAAGAAACCTCACCTGCCTCATTAAAATGAAATAATTTGTAGTCATACCTGCAATTTGTAACATCAAAAGTTAGTCTCCAATTGATGAGACAATTGATAAGTATAAACATAACTTTATAATAAGTTCGCAGTAAACAAGTATTGAAATATAATATATAATAATATTATATATAGCGATATAATATATATATATATATATAATATTATATATAATAATAATATATATAATGATCATATATATAATATTATACATAACATTATATATAACAATATTATATATAATATTATATACAACAATATTATATATAATATTATATATAACAATATTATATATATATATATGTATATATATATATATATATATATATATATATATATATATATATATATATATATATATATAAATAAACAAACTTCATAGTTGGTTTTTATAACGTAAATTACTATTTTTTATTTTTTTACAACATCTTTGCTTCCAACAATCCTGCAAGCAACCACTATTAGAGTTGGAAGTTACTGGAAAGGAAAAGATGAAGTTTATAGAGAAAGATGAAGATTGACAGACAACTTAATAGATTGCAAGTTATATGAATCAGGAAGGCAAGATGATGGAAACGAATTCCAAAAAACTGATGTTTGAGGAAAAAATCTAGACAAATAAGAATTTTGGGGCACATAGAAACAGCCACAGTAAAAAAATGAGACTTAATTGATTGACGAGTAACACAAGAATGAATTATAGTAGATGGGATGAGAAACGTTAGCTCTTTAGAGCAGTACCAGATATAGTATTTGTAGAAAAGGGAGAGAATCAGCATTATAATGATGTGATAATAGTTGGAGGTTGGCTGCAGGAGCAGGTCCAACTATGTTTACAATGTGTTTTTGCATATTGTCTACAAAAGAAAGGGCATCATTGGAAGATCCCTCCAGATATGGCAACAGTACTCCATATAAGGATATATATATATATATATATATATATATATATATTTATATATATATATATATATATATATATATATATATATATATATATATAAATATATATATATATATATATCTGTGTGTGTGTGTGTGTGTGTGTGTGTGTGTATATCAGGGTGTTAGCTAGGAAAAAAATTCATACAGTGGTTTTGCGAAATTGGGAATTTAAGTGCGGCCAAAAGAAAAAAAAGAAAAAAAAAAGTCATTACATTCTGCCTTTAAAAAATAAAATAAAATTTCTATTTTTGTTGGGCTACATTCATAGATGGAATATTTTTCTACTTTATAAATGTTTAATTCTAAATTAAATTATTAATGTAAAGAAAAAAATGCAAAATAGTATTTAATTTTTAACTAAACATTTTTTACGATTTCCATGATCTTCATGTTACTTTTTAATTTGTGAATACAACTTTTTAATTGACAATTGTCCTTAAAAATACTATACATTATATATAGAATTGCCAGAATTCCAGCTTTTACATAGGAAAACACAGTAAAAAAAAATATATTTTTACAGGTTTGTATTCTACTCTGTCAAGTCCAGGCGTTTGGCAACCCTAATTATATGGAATTTTTTTTTTTTTTTTTATCATTATTTACATCCCCAAGGCCCGAGGAAGCCACTACAGTCGAGGAGGCTACTCATTTTTTTTTTTTATTTTTTTTTTATTTTTTTTATTTTTTATTTTTTTTTTGTAAATTGTGGTACAACCCTCTCTCAACTCTTTAACTCCGAAACACGAACCTTAACAAGCAAGGCCACTGCACAGAGAAATTAAGTTGAGCGCGGTACTTCCAGGGAAATGGTGGGAATCAAACTCCCAACCTCTCGCTTACAAAGCAAGCGCTCTTACCACTACAACACTACTGCGGAAATATTTTGAATATTTAAGTATTTAAATACCTTAGTATTTTAAAACTAAAAATTTTAAAATAGTAAAATTAAACTTTTTTACATAGGTATTAGTATTATTGTTCATCATATTTTATATCATAATTTTATCATTAGATAAGTTTAAAAGTTAAAAAACTTATTGAAATTGATAGTTTATTAATGAAAGTTTAATGAATGTTTTCAAAATCTTAATAACTTTTAATTAAAAAACTTGGTTGGCTCGACAATTTCCGTCAAATATGTTTGTTAAAAAAACTTTTGTTGCCATAGGCTACTTTAATTTAAACAAGTAACTAAGACCTTTAAGGGGCAGAGCAAAATTCAAATATGCGGCTTAAATTTAGTTGCATGAGGGCAGCAACTAAATTTAAGCGGCATATTTAAATATTAGGTATTTAAAAAATAGGTATTTAAATAAAAAAATGTATTCGAAAACAAAAACTAATTTATTATTTTTTTTCAATTTACAAATATACATTAAGTATCAATATAAATTTTGTATTTGTAAATTAAAAAAATAATTTACGTATTTATAAATATTGGTTAATAATTAATAAACTTAACATAGATAATACGTTTCATTGCCAGTTTTATTTTTGATTTTCTTTTGTTATTTTCGGTTTACTTTACCAGCTAATTTACTTTACAGAAAGTATTAATAATTCTTTTAAAAACTTTATTAACTAATTTTAAAATATAATATTTATTAATATGCAAATTTGATTGTAACTTTCCTAACTTAAAATATACAGAAAAATATAAATAAAGAGTTTTTGAATAATAAAAATAAATTAATAAAATAATTTATTAAACATATTGAAAAATCTTAACTAGAGAATAACTGGCGTCAATGAAAATTTAAAAAAAAAGTTTTTTTCAACTTTTGAATAAATGATAATGAATTTTAATGACGCTTGTTAATGACAACACATTTTTACTCATAAAAAAAATAGTTGACCTACTTAATTCATTTCCTCGTCATGCGTATTGATTGCGTTTTTACTTGTCTCTCCCAACACTTTAAATCTAAAACTGATTTAATTTTTTTTTCTATGATCTTATGAATCTTTGGGAACTTTAAACCAATCGGGATTACCACGTTATACACGGTGCCATCAAGCTAGCTAACACCATATATATATATATATATATATATATATATATATATATATATATATATATATATATATATATATATATATATATATATATATATATATATATATTATATATATATAATTAAAAGGTTAGATGAGAAAAAATAACTTTTTTACGGTACTTAAAGTTTCATATTGTTTTCAGCACTCATCAGTCATATATTTTAAAATATATATGGCTGATGAGTGCCGAAAATGGCATGA